TAATTTAAGTAGTAAAACATTTTGATGTAAAGTAAGATATTCATCAACCAGATAATATAATCAAATTTTATTCCTTCAATCGAATCTTTTTGTGTGTGTCAATGAACAATTTGTTTTTTACATATTTGATCAGGATATATAATTATCATATTTTATTTTTTATTTTCTGTTTAGAATACGTTATATAACTTGCTATATTGGTTACATATAAATAAGTTGTCATATTCTAGAAAAGTTTGGCAAATATTTTTATGGTATATCAAAATGTTATATATAGGTAAAATATTTCTTATTTAGTTACGCACAGACAATGATAGTTTCGTATATCGATTGTCCTGACATACATTACAAGCAAGTGAAGTATGGTCTTTTTCTCAATAGGTTCGTTGTTAACACGATTCATGACTTTTAGTAGTGAAATAAAGATTAGAAAAAAATCGAACGTTTATCTACGACAAATTAAGTTTATGGAAGCAGTGTGATAAAGTTTCAATGCCATGATTTTGATATTATCATGTGTGGTTTCCAATAATATGTGAAATATACACGATTTTTTAGATTTGCATGGGATATTCAAAATCGTTGGACCGATCCTAGAAATTGTGTGCAATAACCAAAAAAATAAATGACTAATATTTTAGCCAATTAACCTAGATCTAATGATCTAGATTTTGCCACATGTATCAATTTTAGTGAATTTCTTAATTTTTTTTTTTAGTTATTGAGCAAATTACCCCATTGATATATATAGATATGAACATTACAATTTTTTTCTTTTTAAAGAAACACAATAGGAGAGAAAGACGAACTCTCTCAGACACGAAGACCGAGGAGAGTCTTAATTTTCTCCGCCGCTCCAGAATGGCTTATCAACACCGACATTTCTCTGGCCGTTCATCCTCCTAAGCACAGTGACACTTCTCGGGACATCACCAAGGTCTCGAAGATCTCTCTCTCTCTCACCGCTTACAAGAAGAACCTTGATTTACCTTGCATCCTTTTGAAGCCTTTCATGCCGTTGATGAGATTATCCATGCTTTTGTCGTCCGTCTCAGGTATGGATCTGTGTTCATGGTCCTCCATGGCTCTGTTTGCTCTCGCTCATGGTAAGGTATGGCTACTTTTGGAGCCGGCAAAACCTTTCCAACCACTGAAACCGCCAGATCCGCCGGTACCACCGGA